ACTTTCTTACTTTTTTCCCGTTTTCGTAACCATTTCGTAACCATTGTTGAGCAGCCGGCTTAAAAGTAACCAACTAACCCAATCAACAAACCCAATTCACAAAACCCAACCAAAAGTAAATGTTCGCATTTACTGAAATGTTTACGTTGACTGTGATAATAAGGTGACAACTCAAAGAATTTTTTTCTGCGATAAATATGCAAGGGCATTGCAAAAAACGCCTATTTTTATAAAAAAAGGGCATATAGTTCATAAAATAATATTTAGTTTTGAGTTAGATCAATTAACTTGTTTTTCTTTTTTTTTAGATTTTGCTGTATACGTGGTATACAATGTAAACATTATAAATAACATAGCACACTTATAAAATTAAAAATAGGTATATTACTAAATTATTTTATAATTTCAGTGGCGCTTCTAAAACATTAAGACTCGGTAGTTCAGAAAAGACTTTTTGTTAAACCTGAATATAAATTAGATTAATTTATGATAGCAAAAATATTCTGCTTTTTTAAACAATATTTAAAAATTAAAACAATATAGAATGAGTAATTTCAACATAACAAGTAAAATTATTAAAAGCTCTCATCCTACCTAAAAATTTACTTTTAGATACTAACTTACACGATAACACAAATAATTGATAAAAAATATAATTCAAATCACTGTGCAGAGAGGCGAAAGTGATTCAAAATTCTTCATTCAATTTACGCCGTACATGCATACACTGATTAATCTTTTTAGAAAGAATTGCCCAGTGCGATTTTACTTTCGTTTAATCGGTGAAAAAATATGAACCAACTTAATGTTTACTTTCTGATTTGTATAGTTTCATTGAAAGGTATGGGTGTGTTTTTTTAGTGTGCCATTGTATGGCATTGATTTTCCTTCTTCTTATTCGAATCACTGAATGCCAAATTATTGAGCACCTAAAAGTTTAATTATATTTAATTAAATAAGAGTAGGTATTAATTTAATTTAATTTAATAAATATACATAGACTTTTAATATGTATGGCACTTGTAAATATCGATAGATTTTAAAAACATCGATACTATAGTATCTATAGAACGTTTATATTTTCTTTTACAATTTATACAATTTAGTTATTTATTTACAATATGCATTAGATTTGTGGCAGTAATTAAAACAAAAATAACTTTTACTCTTGTCCCAATTCTAAGTTTAAAGGTGTGAGTTTACTTTCAACTATAATTAAAAAATAAGTTTACTTTCAATTGTTTTAAATTAAATGATTTTAAAGATATGCTTCATAAAACAATGGTGTGTAATTTACTATGTATAGATTCTAGACATATAATGGTTCTTGTATACTTATGTTAGACAATTTATTTATGGATTTTTAAATTGGGCTTTTACAGTTTTTTTTAAGATATTTTAAAATCCTTCGAAGGTATCCTAGAATTTTTGACATATTTAAAATGGTCGCAATTATTATATACCTTAGTTATATTTGTGCAAGGCAACTTGATTTTTTAAGTGGAATTTTCACTTTTATATTTTTTTTAATAATAATCAAACAAAAATAATACAATTGTGTAATCATTGTAAACAGAAATATGTATCCTATTTTTTGTTGTCGAATATAGCGCCCATAGGAAAAATCAAATTTGGCCATGATATCTCAAAAACTAGTGGGGAAAGAAAGATACAAATGATGCCATTAATCGTGTCGTTGCAAACAATGTCAAAATTTTCATTCCTATATTATTTCCATTCCATATATTATTTTACCATAAAAAATATTTTGTTTTATCCAAAAATACCTGATTTATTAATTTTATGGTTTAATGAACGTCTGAAATTCAGACTCTGAATCAAAACATACTTTTATCTTTGGTGGGCAAAGTGAACCTTCTAAATCTCTTATATCTCTTCGTATACGAATATATTCTTAATTGTAAAAAGTGATACCAAAATTTGGTGCTGGCGATTATTTCTTTGCTGTGGGGCTCGTCCGATAGAGGGCCTATAAGGACGCTATAGGCAAATAAAAAAATCTTTAACAAAAATTTTAACAGTTTATTTATCTTTTCTAATTTATTTTGGATTCATTACTATAATTGTTTAATTTTCCTGATTATTTACACATTATTTATTATTTTTAACAAAAATGCTGCTTTCTTTATTTTACATATTTTTTATAATAATTATACAATATACAATACACACTAATTATTATTGTGTACTGTCAGGATGTTAAGTAATAGTTTCCTTGTGCTTTAGCAGGGCTGCTTTAGTTGTCTAGTAGTTCAGAAATTTATATGTTTAATATTATATTTTATCTCCAAGCGGTCTATAAATAATTTATTTTCGTAAATACCTGACACACAAGTTATTGATTATGGCATACTAAAATAAAAATCAAGAGTAAACGAATACAAACTTTTATTAATTTGGGTTAGGCGTTAGTGATTGGTCTATTTCATTATTTACTGTGATTTTGACCAATCGTGTTTTAAATTGGAAGAAACGTTTTCGCCGCATTCAATCAAAAAATTCGATGTCACCACTTTCAATTTTTAATTACTGTAACTACTGTTTTCATGCATCGTTTGACAGTTAAAATTGCCTTTGAATTCTAAAAAACAACATTAAGATAAAATGTTGCATGCCAATCGGCCCAGAGAGTATTTTTGTGCTTCGCTCAGCACAAAAAGGTTCTTTTCTTGGCCTTATAACATAAATAACTATTTTGTCATGCAATATATTAATCCAATAATTATATGGTAATTTTGTATCAAATAATATAATGTACCTAATGACATTAGGCTAATGTTATATTTGTATAAAATATTAATGAAAATTATAATAAAATTTATTTTATTTTAAAAAAACATACAAGTATTACACCTTTTTGCAAATTATTTTTAATTATAAAAATAGGTACAGTGGCCGACACGGAATTTTTAACAACTATCATCCCGAAAAAAATGGTCAATATTGTATCTTCGCTATTTACAGATTAATGCACAACCAAATTATGAAGCTTAAAATTATGTGTCCACCACTGTTCCTAATTAATAAAAGAAATTATATAACAAAAATTATACTTATTTATAACAATTTTATTATGTAACTAGGTTAACATAACAAACAGAAAAATAATTAAATATTTATACGCAAATAAAATGCCAGTAGCCTTGTTAAACTTCTTAACGGTACAGATACTGCAGCAATATTCTGGCTTCATGTTTGTTTGTTTATTGATAAACTAGCTTTTCTACTTTTATTTATGGCACTTCAACTTTCGCGAGAGCCACCTTCGCAATCAAACCGCACTAATAACTGTACATAAAAATTTTATAAATGGTAAATTATGAAAAATAAAAAAACATAGTTAAAAAAAACAACCTATTAATAAATGATACAGAGTGTTAGGCAGTGGCGGCTGGTGGATTTTGGGCACACCCTTATCTCAGTTTTAGACATGGGACCCACATCAAATTTATATGAGGTAATAATGTCATTATATAGACAAGTTCTGTGCAAGCAGAATTTAAATTAAAGTTTTCGAAAAAAAGTTAGTTTTTGAGTGTGCCCCCAGCCTTAGCCTCCTGCCCCTCCAAATTAAGATAATTCAAATTAAAGTGGTACAATATTTAATTCACTGAAGTTTATCGAAAAAGTTCAAATTTTATTAAAAGAATTAAAGGTTTTATACCATTTTAAATTTTTATTATTTCTTTTACAATATATTAAAAAAAAAAATAGAAATGGTATAAAATTTGTAATAATTGAATTTTTTTAACAAAATTTGTCGATAATGTAAAGATTTCTCCTTACACGTATTAAACTACTGAAAACGAAAAAAACGAAACGTAATGTATTACACGGAGATTTGTTTTAAAATTACTGCAAAAAATGCATAATCGTGTTGAGGGAAGGTCTAAACATTTGAGTAATATACAACTAAATTAAGCCTAAGACAATAAAAGAAAGGAATATATATTTTTACATTTAGCAGTAAACTTAAAAGGTAAAAAATATTTTATAAAAATAGCTAAAACAAAAGGTGTTAATATCGAGTAAAATTCACTAATGCTCAGTTTATTTAAATCTAAATCGTTCTACGTTTAGTGGACTTTACTACATAATTGGGCTACTAAAATTAAGAACTAACCTGGGAGAATACACAAACACTTGTAACAATTATATAAACAGAACTTTACAATAAATTTCGTTTTAGTAAAAATGTATAAAAGCCGATACAATTTTCAAACACTTTCTCCCCTTTATTTTCTTCCCTTACCAAGTTTCGATGTTGTTTTTGCCTCATCGGGTGAACAGATTTTTTCCCATTTCAGTCAAAATTTCGGTCTTCCACGAAACTTTGTAATTTCTTTACCTAACCGTTCGTTTTTACCTCTATTGCAAAGATTTTTACATTTTACAACACAATTTAGAAATTACAAACTTATTCAAAAATAAATTTGTAAAACGTATTAAACTACTGAACCATTACAATAAACTTCAGTGAATTAAATATTCTACCACTTTAATTTGAATTATGTTAATTTGAGGGGCAGGAGGAGCACACTTAAAAACTAACTTTTTTTCGAAAACTTAAATTTAAATTCTGCTTGCGCAGAACTTGTCTATATAATGTCATTATAAACTCATATAAATTTGATGTGGTTCCCATATCTAATAACTGAGAATATCTGATATGGGTGTGCCCAAAATCCACCAGCCGCCACTAGAACTGGTGTTAGGGAAATAAGTACCGATAAAAAAAATTATAATGAATATAAGGATCATGGTCTATTTGCTGTGCGAACATTAGAACGCGTGATGTGGGCGATTAAATAAAAAATCCAATTCAAAGGGATAATTTGGACATATTATCTTAATTTTTACATAAAGAAGTTGTTTTTTAATTAGTATTCCACACCCACAAATTTTCAGACTTAATAATGAAAATATTTCATCTGGTAGTATTAGGTAAAATTTAATTAATAACTGATATTTATTTTCAGTAATGCTGACGGAACGGTTGCAATTTCATGGCTGCATTGGTTAGCCATGCAATGCGACGATTTCCAACATCACCGCCAGACACCGTGTATTCCTCCTACGGATTAAGGGTTTGTTTTATTTTTATTACTTAAGTACGCATGTTTGTAGATAGCTGCATAAAATTCATATGTATTGTTAAAACCAGTACTGTACTGTACTTTTAAGTACTGTACTTAGATGTAAGTAGATTTATATATTTATAAATTTACGAAATATGAACTATTGTGTCCCTTATTTTGTCAATTATGAAATACATAAATAGAAAAATGTTTTTTAACAATAGTTTTTGGACCGCAAAAGTTGTGATTTTTGCCTCGTTATGGACATCACGATCCAAAAGTAGAAACACATTTTTTTTTAAACAAACATGGGTCAAATATAAATTTATTAAACTTTTAAGAAAATTTACATTAGGTACATGAAATTCGTCAACATTTCTTTATAAAAAGTTTTAACTTTTAGAAATAGGAATCATCAATGCTTTGGATAAAACTCGCCCCTAATAAACATTTATTTTGACCTCACTAAGGCGTTTAAAACCATAACGTATTTACCAAAAAACTCATATGGTATAAGGTCCCTCATCAAACCGTTCCCAATTTATTCTTATGAGAGGCGAAAAAGACAATTTGAAAAATTTCCCATTTAAATCAAATTTTCAAAAATTAAAATATGGTGTACCACAAGGTGGCATACTTCCTTCTCTTAGGGTACTAAAAAATAATGTCAAAATGATAATTGAAAAAATGATAAAAATCTGTACAAAAATAAATAAATTAAATGCTTGTCTAAAATGGTGTTTTAGTCACAGGCTGAAGTTACGCAATTCATAACCTAAAAAAATTGTCGGCCAGAAATATATTGTCTTAATATTATGCGCACATTCAATGCATAATCCAATTTGCCTGAACAAGTCTCAGGTCACATAAAAATGTCAACCAAAACGGATTGTATTTTTGGCATCTATTCCTCACTCCAAAACCATATTTTTCAAAATCCTAGCTGACCCTTTTTTTTATTTTTTTGCAATTTTCTGGATATTCCAAAAATACAATCCGTTTTGGTTGACATTGTTATGTTACCTGAGACTTGTTCAGGCACAGCGTGCATTCAGTGGATTCATAACCTAAAAAAAATTGTCGGCTTGAAATATTTTAGAATTTTAGTAAAAATAACAATAATTTTACTTTGCTATTGAAAGGAGTGTTAAAGTAATTAACAATAAATCTTAAAGATTTTTAGGGATATCAATTATATAAAATAAAAATAGACTGAAAAAGCTTAAAAAACTAACAAGTTTTGCACCGGTACGCCTTGCCACCCCAGTTAAAATCACCAAACTGCAATGCAATGATTCCGTAAGACAAATCGTCACCTGAGAATTATAGTATTCTATCTGCTTTTTTTTTTTAAATTGATGTTGGTCTTGTTTTAAGTCTTAAAGATGCATATTGTTCTTATCTATACAAAATTGGGGTAGAAAGTGTACAGTTTAAGGCCATCGCAATGGTGCTGCCGCTATCTCCAACTGTTATCGTGTGTAAATTTAATAAGTGTTCATCACAAATCAAAACAAACTCATACAAAGTTCAATGTGATAAGTGCAAGGTGAGGGGTAATCCGCAGGGGAATTTTGGTTTACAATCTTTAGAAATTAGTAAGGAATTAGTAAGCAAATAGTGGAATTAGTGAGGAATTAGAAATAAATTAGAAGAATCTAGAACATCTAGATAGGCTTAATTTATTTAAAATATGTTTAATAGTACAAAAGGTCAGAAAATTCCCGAAAATTTTTGGGGTTTTCCCGAGGGGTCAGAAAACGAACATTTTCAGTTCTTTAACAATTATTTTTTAATTTTATGGGGTCTCTTTAGTGTTACTTAACTAGGTAAATATTTTAACTTATTAAAAAAATAACAAACACATTTGTAGAAATTTAATAGCCAAGAAAACAAAAAAGTGTTTTGGTTTTAAGGTTATTTTTCTTACATTCTTTTCTATGATTTTTTGAATTATTTGCCTTTAATAATAATTATGGTCAAAATTTGAAACAAAAGAAAAAACAATATACTTAATGTTTAAAAAACCCCCAGACCCCCTTAGTTAAAAAAATTATTTGTGATATTAACAATAAAGATGATACCTCAAAAACAAAAAAATCCCAGGAATTTTTTGAATTTATTTAAAATTCCTGAAAATTACCTGGGAATTTTGATACTATACGATAATTTTACACGATTCTGTGGCCTAGTTTACGTAATAGATTTGTTCAATTAGTAGGAAATTAGCTTGGGAATTATTGAAATTAGGGGAATTAGCTTAGGAATTAGTGACATTAAGGGAATTATCTTGGGAATTACTGAAATTAGGGGAATTAGTAGGGAATTAGTAAGAAAATAGGGGAATTAGTAACAATTCTGGGAATTAGTGTACACATTTTTTTTGCGGTTTACCCCTCGGTGCAAGGGTTGGTTTCATCGTGACTGCGCAAACCTAACCATAGAGGAATGCTCCACATTTAACAAAGAAAAGGACTCACCAATTTCAAGTAAGTGGTCATGTCAACTCTGCTTAACTATAAACAACACTCAACACAGAAAACACCTTACCTAAGTATGGATGTATTATTAAATGAAAATATCCTCCTCAAGAGAATCATTAGGGAGTTAGAAGAGAAAAATGCACTCTTAATTGAAAATAAACAGTTATTAGAAGACAAGATAATTAATCTGGAAAAAAATCCGTAAAAAAGAATTGAAGCTAACATCTCGCGCCAAGACATAAATATCAATAAATTAAAAGTTGTCGATACAATTAACTCTTTTGATTAATCTACCAGTCAACAGGGGGCAGATAACAACAATGGTTCTGAAAACATAGAAACTCAAGAGAGGTCGTCAGATACACAAAATAAAAATAAAACAAATAAGAAAATTAAAAAACATCAATCCGTACCTGAAAAAAATATCCAAGAAAAATTAACTCATAAACAAGAACTTATATATAAAAATAAAACAATTATTACCGAGAAAAATGAATCCTCGGCTATTTTAGAAGCAACCATAAAAAATATTTGTGGAAAGCTAATAAACATTAATAATGATGAACCAAAATATATCAATACATGGACTGAAGTGGTTGGAAAAAATAAGAAGAAGTCAAAGACTGCTAATACAACTAGTATTATGGGAAATCTTAAAGGCTCCAGCAGTTGCGCTTTAAAAGTTGTTCCCAAAAAGTCTTTTGTGTATGTCTCAAGGTTGGAACCAAATACATAGTGTGAAGATATAATTACCTATTTAAACTCTAAATTTCCTGCAATAACTTGTGAAAGTGTTGAATCCAAGTTTCCACAACATTATGCTTCTTTTAAAATAACTGTTTATTTGTGTAATTTTGAAAAAATTATGGATCCTGAACTTTGGCCTCAGGGTACCTACTTGTCTCGGTTTTTTCACCCAAAACCGAAAACCGCACAGGTCACCTAAAGGAATCTTTTAGTATTGTAAATTTAAATATACAATCAGTTAAAAATAAAATAAATGAGCTAGAGTTATTCTTAAACAATAAAAATATTTCTTGTGTGTGCCTATGCGAACATTGGCTTACTGTTAATGAAATATGTGCATTAAGTATCTTCTTTCTATTCTAGATTATATAGTAGAGGAGGTGAATCTGTAATACTAGTAAAATGTAATACCAATTATATTGAATATTAATAGTCTTTCATTAGAAAGATTTGTGGAAATTAGTGCGATAAAGATTTTAGATAATAATTTAATAAATGTAAATGTATACAGACACCCTAGTGATAATTTTAAAATATTCTTAGATGTGCTAGAAAATGCGTTAAATACTTTAGGTGTAACGTCAAAAATCCTAGTGTCAGGGTATTTAAATGTTAATTTTACTCATTTAAATAATGATGCTTGTTTTTTAAGAGGTTTGTTTTTATTCTTTGGATTTAAACAACAATTTTTTGCTCCCAGTATAAATTTTAATTGTATTGATAACATATTTGTTAATTTCGATAATGATTGTGTAACTGAGACTATAAACATTCCCTTTTCTGACCATAATGCTCACACTGTTTAAAATATCTGTGGTGTAAAAAGTAATCTTAAAATGGTGTCAAAATCCAACACCAAGTGGTGTTAATAAAACACCATGAATTATGGTTGAAAATGTTATATACATGTATGCTGCAGCAAACACCAAAACGGTGTTTATCTAAAAATATTTGACAAGTGCACCTACACAGAAAAAAGAAATAGTTCATTTAACTATATTAATTTAGTTGTCCCATAAGTATTTATTTTTGTATTTTTTTTATTTTTATCAACTATGTGAAGGTTCATATAAACAAAGATTAGTCTGAGGGTACTAAACCAGATAGTTATTTTTTTTTAAATTGGTTAAATTAACCCAGAAAACTTTAGTGAAACCAACCCGCTGTATGGTTCACTTTACTAAATATGTTGTTTGTAAAATAAGAGTTACTTCAACCTAAAGCACCCTGTTAAAACGATTAAAACAATTTGCCGTGCATTCCCGGTTACATAGTGTGTACCGATCCCGGCAAAGGCGGTGAGGATCACGTGATGTTCTTAAATCTCGCCTCTGTTGACTTACATGAAGAGTATATAAGCTCAGGTAGTCCTTTGCTTTGGTGAGACAGTACAAGTTGTTCGATACTAAAGAGACCTTAAATAGGTGCACCTAAATAGGTGCACCATGGAAACATCTGTCAATATTGGAAGTATTTTAAGTTAGTGGAACGCACTAAAAACATTATCTCTAGCGAGTTGAAGGTTCAATTTTCTGAAATAATACCACTGGTAATATACTAGTAATGCGTCAAGGAACTTCCTGTTTCCTTTTCTTTTCCTTTTTCCTGTGTAGTATAATTAAATTTGACCAAAAACACATAATATTTAACAGTGAAAAGAAGTTCAATTTACACCAGGTAAAATCTATTTTAATATTGTGTGAAAGTTAAATTAACACTACTTTAGTATTTGAATTTACACCGGACCAATGAACCATATTTAACACCATTTTGGTTTGT